TAGTGTAAAGTTAGGCCCTGATATACCGTATATTATAAACCAGGTGGTTCAAGCTTTGAATGCTTCTTGGCTGAAAGCCGTGGTATATCAGAACGTATACCATGGGAATGACAAAAACATGTATTTTACTGGTCTAATTACGTTGGTAACCAGTTTATAACAGCAATAAGGCACCTCTGGGGTTTGTGGTATATGGCCAATATACCACGGCTAAGGGCTGTATCCTCTGGGGTTTGTGGTATATGGCCAATATACCACGGCTAAGGGCTGTATCCTCTGGGGTTTGTGGTGTATGGCCAATATACCACGGCTAAGGGCTGTATCCTCTGGGGTTTGTGGTATATGGCCAATATACCACGGCTAAGGGCTGTATCCAGGCTGTACTCTGTGTTGCGTCTTGCATAAGAACAGCCCTTAGCCGTGGTATATTGGCCATAAGTCCCCTGTAGCTCAGTTGGCAGAGCATGGCGCTTGCAACGCCAGGGTTGTGGGTTCGTTTCCCATGAGGGGCCAGTATGAAAATGTATGCACTAACTGTAAGTCACTCTGGATAAGAGCGTCTGCTAAATGACTAAAATGTAAATATACCACACCACCTCGAGCCTTAGTAGTTAATTATATAGGGTGCGTTCCTAAATTCACTCTGGCTATCTACTCCGATTTCAGAGCACTTTTGTCCGAGTGTGCCGGAGTGCAGAATAACTGAGGAATTTAGGAATGCGCAACACCTGTTGAATATGACCTGTCAGTAAACTTCGGCAAAAAAACGTCATTAAATTCCTGCCAGCAGCACAGTTACAGTCACCAACGCTCTGGATAACATGAAAACAGCCTAACCAGCTCTGCTAGGGCAAATAAAATGGTCAAAGTGAGGTGTTCTCTCATTTGTGTCTGGAAGTAGCTAGCCAACGTTAGCCAGTTAGCTTGGGTGCTTGACTGCGGTTGTGAGATTGTTACGAACCCCGTGGCTTTAAAAGTCGAGGGGAGAGGGGAAAGGGACCTGTAACATAATTCATGCAAATTAGAATCGTGACACGGAAAACAGTGAGAACAAAAAATACACCGACAACCATAAGCTACCGTCAAACACAAGATGTTTATTTTGAACACATGGTAAAGGTTTGGGAAAAAGGGCTGAGCAGGACCCAAGGAATGAAACAATAATGTAAAAAAACCCTAAACTGATCTTGCCTGCCTCAAGAACCGCTAAGCTACTGCTAATCATACAAAAATACAGTGGGTGGTCCGCTCAGGTCTAACTAATGTTTTTAGACAATGTTCTTTCTAGGGGTAATGTATGCCCAAGGGCAACTTGCTAAATCCCCCTTTTCCCAGAAACACACAACAAAGTTACCATACAGAGTAACCAGCAAATGAGTGAGTACACAAAAAAACAGGACACCACAGTATCCATACTCACATACGGAAAATAGTCTCTTTCTCAACAAACACAACTGACCGGCTTTTAAAACAATGGGAGGTGTGAGTGGGAAACCAGAAACAGGTGGTGCAATACAGAGGAATGTCCACTGATTGGTCCACCTCAGCAATCAGCAGACAACCTGTCGGACAGGTGGGACACCCCAACGACCACCAATCAGGAACATACAGGACACCTGTGATTAGGGCAGAAGGAGAGGAAAAACACAAAAACACACACAGGATACCTGTATCCGTAACAGAGATCAACCCAACACCTCTGCCAGTGTCCAGTGTGCGCTCTGAACGCTCCGAGAGCGAAACGCTCTGAATTTACAAATGGACAATCTGACAACACTCTGAATTTTTTACGAATGCCCACGCGTACTCTGGCACTCCAGAGTACATTTCCAGAGTACATTTACGAACACACCCATAGTCTTACCTGGCCTGCTCCTGACTGTTCTAGTTCCTGAAACGTCATTGTATGGTTCTGCTCCACACGTGCACCTAGCCTGGGTGGGGTTTTTTGTTGTGTGTGTGTGTGTGTGTGTGTGTGTGTGTGTGTGTGTGTGTGTGTGTTATTGTGGTGTGCTGTGCTGTGCTGTGGTTACCCCCATTGTGATGTCCCTGTAGAATGTTGCGATGGATGGCCAATGGCCATTGTTGTCGGGAGGTTTCTTTCTGTAGAATGTTGTGTAAGATCCATCCATTATGATGTCATATTAGAGTAGAATGGCTGGGCTGAGTTCTCCGTGTCACAGTAGCCTTAGTGTCTATAGTCTATAGCTGCTCTGGAAATATCATCATGGGCGTGGTGGGGAATCATTCATTGATTATGATGTCATATTAGAGTAGAATGGCTGGGCTGGGCCGGGCTGGGCCGGGCTGAGTTCTCCGTGTCACAGTAGCCTTAGTGTCTATAGTCCATAGATGCTCTGGAAATATCATCATGGACGTGGTGGGGAATCATTCATTCATTCCAGAGTTTCCCTGGACTTCTGAGCTGTTGTGTGAATAAATGTGTTGAGTAGGCTAATGCTGCTATTATGGATCTAATAGATTTATCTGTGTTTCAACTTGGCAGTCATATATATATATATATATATATATATATATATATATATACTATAAATACATGGATAGTGCATTGATAAATAGACAATAAAACATTCAAGTTAAAATACAAGTGATAAACATGACAAAATGTACATTTACATTTGGGGATACTCTGAGTTTTGTTGATTAAATGGGTAAAGTAAGTTATGGGTGAATGTTTGTATTGTTCAGTCCTGGCCTTTGACATGTTTCATGTAAAATGATAACATACACAGTGTTTGAGAAGTAATATCCCTGTATTGACGGTAAATTCTGGTCATACTGTGGAAGACGTGGCAGTATTAACTAGTTGTTATAGCAACAACCGCAGAAATACTGTTCTGTATGACACTAATCAAAGTGTTGGAGGACAATCCAGTGAATCAGTGTTGAATATAGCTACTCTATCAATGTTTGTCTTATTTTATATTTTATTTTATTTAACCTTTATTTAACTAGGCAAGTCAGTTAAGAACAAATTCTTATTTACAATGACGGCCTACCAAAAGGCAAAAGGCCTCCTGTGGGGATGGTCATCTGAATCAGGGTTAGTTTGGCAGCTGGGGTGAAAGAGGAGCGATTACGATAGAGGAAACCAAGTCTAGATTGAACCTTAGCCTGCAGCTTTGATATGTGCTGAGAGAAGGACAGTGGACCGTCTAGCCGTACTCCCAAGGACTTGGATGAGGTGACTACCTCAAGCTCTAAACTCTCAGAGGTAGTAATCACACCGGTGGGGAGAGGGACATTCCTCTTACCAAACCACATGACCTTTGTTGTGGAGGTGTTCAGAAGAAGGTTAAGGGCAGAGAAAGCTTGTTGGACAATAAGAAATCTTTGTTGTAGAGCGTTTAACACAAAACCCGGTGAGGGGCCAGCTGAGTATAAGACTGTATCATCTGCATATAAATGGATGAGAGAGCTTCCTACTGCCTGAGCTGTGTTGTTGATGTAAATTGATTGTTGAATATAGCGACTCTATCAATGTTTGTCTTATTGATTGTTAATGATTGATAGTGTTTATACTGCTATAGTCTCATTCTTCTGGCCTGTTCCCTGCCAGCTGGAAAAAAGTTGCACCCGACAGTCAGACCCGACCCAAATGGACCCGATAATTATTTTAAAAATGGAGACCCGGACTCGAAAGGACCAGAGAAAAACCAGACCCGAACCCGAATGGACCCGAGGACAACTCGACCTAGACCCGACCCGTACCCTAATGGGTCTGGGTCCAGACCAGACCTGACCCGAGGACAACTCGACCTAGACCCGACCCGTACCCCAATGGGTCTGGGTCCAGACCAGACCTGACCCGAGGACAACTCGACCTAGACCCGACCCGTACCCTAATGGGTCTGGGTCCAGACCAGACCTGACGCGAGGACAACTCGACCTAGACCCGACCCGTACCCTAATGGGTCTGGGTCCAGACCAGACCTGACCCGAGGACAACTCGACCTAGACCCGACCCGTACCCCAATGGGTCTGGGTCCAGATGGGTCTGGGTCCAGATGGGTCTGGGTCCAGACCAGACCTGAGAAAAAAAGTATGTTTATCAGCCAAGTTGCTCTTCTGGTTAACATAAGGGTCCTTAAATGTTGGCTAGGACTTCTATAAGTCAATAAATTCACCTTACATTTACATTTTACATTTGAGTCATTTAGCAGATGCTCTTATCCAGAGAGACCTACAGTGACCTTATCAGCTTAAAATAAATATGTTATAGTCTATGCAGAGCCGTGGTTGGGTCCATTCAGGTCTACTCGGGTCTATCAACTGTGGTTAGATAGACCCGATGACAATCAAACAGAACCCGACCCGGACCTGAGGGACAAGTTAACATTTCAGACACAAACCTTATCGGGCCCAGGTCAGGTCTCGGGTATATTGGGTCCACCTGGACCCGTGAAGACCTCTACTTCCAGCCTAGACTACCCAGAACCACTTAGAGCCCTGTCGCCTTTCTATTGGCCTCTCTTCTCTTCTCTTCTCTTCTCTTCTCTTCTCTTCTCTTCTCTTCTCTTCTCTTCTCTTCTCTTCTCTTCTCTTCTCTTCTCTTCTCTTCTCTTCTCTTCTCTTCTCTTCTCTTCTCTTCTCTTCTCTTCTCTTCTCTTCTCTTCTCTTCTCTCTATTCTTTCTTTCTTTCAACCTACACATCTGGCCATCACCATGGAGAGGCCATGATTTGCTTACAAAGAGTGTGTAGCCAATCACACGCCATAGGATCCCTATTCTCAAGCTTCAACCAATGTGCGCAGCTGTGTCATTTGCATACAAGGGGGTTTGACCAATCCCTTGGCACTACAGGAGACGGTTCTGCGGGTTCTGGCCTATGGGCGGGCGGGATGCAGAGATAAAGGTCTGCATATGAGAAGGTGTTTAGTATTGATCCAGTATCTGGTGGTAGGTTGTAAACTCGCGCTGTGGACCTGCAAGGTGGACTCTCTTATCTTCTCTGACGGGAATAGTATCTCTGTAACAACATGCCTAAAAGGAAGGTGAGTCGCTCTGTTTTAAAAAATATCTAAAGCGTACTCGTTGTGAATGTGATATCTGTTCTATCTGGGAGAGAGAGGATAGCGGTGCGTATCTCCTAGTTATATTTAGCGAAGCAGGTGAGCTGATGCGAAAGTTTCCAAACCCGAGACCCGCCTGTTCAGCTGGGACCGTTTGGTCTGGTGGGAGTCTAAAGGGGATGCCAGCGTTCCTCCATGTCATTCGGTGTGTTTTCTGTCGAAGCCCCTGCTCTCTCTCGCTCTCCATGGCCGGTGTGTTTTCTGTCGAAGCCCCTGCTCTCTCTCGCTCTCCATGGCCGGTGTGTTGGCTGCTGTCCCCCCCCTCCCTGTCCACCCATACCGGACTGTCTGTCACCACACAGTGCACAGCTCCCGCTCCGGAACGTCACCAAGTCGACCGGTAGGGATGCGTGCTACACCCGCGCAGCTGGCGGTTTGAAGTGGCCACTTTATCCCCGTCGCGACTGTTTCGAGATTATTGTGCAATTAGTGCATTTTAATGTGTTAGTGTGTCAATTCTACTGAGGGATTTAAATCTGTCGATGGATGTTTCCCCCTCTAGAGGAACACTCTCTCTTTCTTTCTCTGTCTCTCTGTCTCTCTCTCTCTCTCTCCTCTCTCTCTCTCTCTCTCGCAGTGTCTCTCTCTCTCTCTCTCTCTCTCTCTCTCTCTCGCTGTCTCTCTCTCTCTCTCTCTCTCTCTCTCTCTCTCTCTCTCTCTCTCTCTCTCTCTCTCTCTCTCTCTCTCGCTGTCTCTCTCTCTCTGTCTCTCTCTGTCTCTCTCTCTCTCTCTGTGGCGACCTGTCATTCAGAGTTTTGAACCCTACCTGTTTAGCTAAAAAAATTATAAAAAGATCAGTTTGCAAACAATGTAAAGAAAAATGTTATCCTTGAGTTAATAAAGATGCATACAAGCATGGTCTCTTGAGTAAGGCAGCTCCAAAATGCAGGTGTTTCAGCCTAGCTCTGTGGTGGATGGGCAGCCAACGAAAGAGCATAAGCGTTGGTAATTTTCTCTAGTTATGCTGTGATTGGCTCAGTGTTCCGTCACTCACGGGGACACTACTCACCGCATAATCTACAGGGAGAGCTAGGCAGTTCAAGCCCCTTGGGTGCTGCCACAGAGTTACATTAGAAGTGCCCATCCAAGAAGGCTCAAGGTCATTGGCCACAGATAAAATTACGTCAAATCGTATTATATCTACCGTAGCTTTGATTGGACTGATCATACTTTCAAAATCTTGGCTAACAAGCTAGCTAGTTAGACAAGCAGTCATCATCATGAATCACGTTGACAATCTACTGGCAAATCCTTTTCAATCCTTGTCATATGAAGAGAAATTATAGATAAAACGTTTCGGTGCTCATCGGCCATTGGACATAAACATTACACAACAAGTTGGATATCGCAAATTCAACAATGAATCAGTGACCTAGCAATCACTATTTTGCTTCCCCTGCCTGCTATTCGGTGGAGAGGGTGTGTGGTCCAAGTTTGGGTTTAAGGATTTAAAAAATCTGTCTGAAAGGGTCTCTTTTCAAAGGTTAAAAGGATAAACATTCACACGCAACACCATGGGCCAGAAAAGGTTGAATACATTGGCCATGCTGTCAATCCAGCATGACTTCTGCCAGGTTCAAAACAACTGGGAACTGGGAACTGGGAAATCTCAGAATTCAGTGTGTTGAAGACAACTAGGAACTCTGAAAAAAACTAGCTCCGACTGGGAAAATACGTTTTGAACGGTCATCCAACTCGTTCAACGGTCATCAACTGATTTCCAGTTGTCTTGAAAGCACCATAAATCCAGAGAATGTGTTGTAGAAAATTATTCTTATACTTATTAAAACAAATAAAGGAGTTTTTGTAGAATCAAGATAGACTTTATTACACAAGCAATACAGCCGAGCTGGTCTGCAGAGCAACTGCCGTCCCAGACTTGGAGCTCTCTTTATATACAGCTTCATCTTTTCATATCATATCGGAGCCACTATGGTTCCTCTGTCTAGCTTATTTCCTGTCTGTCCCCATGTCTGCTTGGTCTCCTTTTCATATCATATCAGAACCCCCTCTTTATCCAAACAGCCACCCTCCCTTGACCTGGAGCCACTATGGTTTCTTCTTGTGGCTATGTGTAATCGGGTCGTAGCGCACAAACAAGCGATAACGTTAGTTCCGTTACTACTCATATCTCCACACAGCTGAGCCCTTGGTAGTAAAAGACAGGATGAACTGAAAAAACTGTGGACACTCTGAGGCTGTTTGTCCTGACCGTGTGACCAGGTTACTCGGAAGCAACGAGAAACAACAAGAAATGGAAACAATACAGGTCTATCTGTTCCTGAAGTTTATCTCCATCCCATGTCCTTGACTACACGCCCAGACCAGCTGCAGGGAGCTAGAGGGAACCATCCTTTATCAGAAGCACAGCATTTGCACTAAAGAAATGTCTCTACTATTGTTAAGCATATTATAATATATGTAATGGAAAAATACCTATAGGCGCCATTTCATCGTGGCTCTGTTTTAACCCTTTAATTGGTTCTTAATCCATAGGCATATAGGGCATATAGGTGTTTCATTCTACAACATACATCATTCATATTAATTGGGTTATGTTGTCTGCCCTTAAGTGAGACAGAGTAGTTAACTAAACATTTCCATTAAATGCCAGACTTTGATGACAAAGTTTGATGACAAAGTTTGCCAACAAGAAGGACCGCCCCAGAAATAGGTCTACAGTATCAATCAATCAATCAATCAATCAATCAATCAATCATTTTGTTTATAAAGCCCTTTTTACATCAGCAGATGTCACAAAGTGCTATACAGAAACCCAGCCTAAAACCCCAAACAGCAAGCAATGCAGATGTAGAAGCACAGTGACTAGGAAAAACTTACTAGAAAGGCAGGAAGCTAGGAAGAAACCTAGAGAGGAACCAGGCTCTGAGGGGTGGCCAGTCCTCTTCTGGCTGTGCCGGGTGGAGATTATAACAGTACATGGCCATTAAGGCCAGATTTTTCTCCAAGATGTTAAAACGTTAATAGATGACCAGCAGGGTCAAATAATAATCACAGTGGTTGTAGAGGTTGCAACAGGTCAGTACATCAGGAGTAAATATCACTTGGCTTTTCATAGCCGGACATTTAGAGGTTGAAATAGCAGGTGCGGTAGAGAGAGAGAGTTGAAAACAGCAGGTCTGGGACAAGGTAGCACGTCCGGTGAACAGGTCAGGGTTCCATAGCCGCAGGCAGAACAGTTGAAACTGGAGCAGCAGCACGACCAGGTGGACTGGGGGCAGCCAGGAGTCATCAGGCCAGGTAGTCCTGAGGCATGGTCCTAGGGCTCAGGTCCTCCGGGAGTGGAGGGAGAGATACTGGAGGCTGAGACGGGGGGGGGGGGGGGGGGTTGGGAGACACTTTGGCCCCGTCCGACGATACCCCCAGACAGGGCCAACCAGGCAGGATATAACCCCACCCACTTTGCCAAAGCACAGCCCCCACACCACCAGAGGGATATCAACAGACCACCAACCTACTACCCTGAGACAAGGCTGAGTATAGTCCACAAATATCTCCTCCACTGCATAAGCCCGATGGGGTGACATGCTGCTGCATAAATGATGTAAAATGCCAGTGAAAAACAGTATGTATACTATAGCTAAGAAAGTAATACTAAGTGTATGTTGTGTAGTAAGCTGTTAGTAGCCCATGTACCTCACCCTAATAATTTGGTCCCTTTCCCCCTCATAACTTAGCCTACTGTTCTGACTTGGTGGTGCACATGTAGCCTTTAAAAAAGTAATTTAAAATCAAGAGCAATTCCATCTTTTAGAGAAACGTAATCATTGAATATTGTAAGAGCTTTCATTGTCTGCTTATATGCCCCCTTTATTTATCCTACGGTTCTGACTTGGTGTACAGGGAGAACACCGTAAGAACGGCCCATGTTCTGAATTCTGTCGCTGTACATTTCAAAAGTGCTGAACAAATAGTTATATTGACTACGTCCGTCTTAGCTCGCTCATTAATGTCTTAATCTAAATTACGGATTGCCTCTTATCCGCTCGTCGTCCCCTTATGCCGTAGTTTGTACATATCAATTGTTATATATATATATATATATATATATATATATATATATATATATATATATATATATATATATCCATCTCATTAGCATATTAATTTATATAGGTCCATCTCATTAGCATATTAATTTATATAGGTCCATCTCATTAGCATCTTAATTTATATAGGTCCATCTCATTAGCATCTTATTTTATATAGGTCCATCTCATTAGCATCTTGTTTTATATAGGTCCATCTCATTAGCATCTTATTTTATATAGGTCCATCTCATTAGCATCTTATTTTATATAGGTCCATCTCATTAGCATCTTATTTTATATAGGTCCATCTCATTAGCATCTTATTCATCATTTTAGGTAATGTTGGAATGATGTATTTCTTTGTTTATCTTACTTTGTGTATTATAATCATCTCATGTGCTTTTCTCCATGAGGACGGGATACTATATAATGTTGTTGGGTCTGTAACCATGAGGACGGGATACTATATAATGTTGTTGGGTCTGTAACCATGAGGATGGGATACTATATAATGCTGTTGGGTCTGTAACCATGAGGAGGGGATACTATATAATGTTGTTGGGTCTGTAACCATGAGGACGGGATACTATATAATGTTGTTGGGTCTGTAACCATGAGGACGGGATACTATATAATGTTGTTGGGTCTGTAACCATGAGGAGGGGATACTATATAATGTTGTTGGGTCTGTAAACATGAGGATGGGATACTATATAATGTTGTTGGGTCTGTAACCATGAGGACGGGATACTATATAATGCTGTTGGGTCTGTAACCATGAAGAGGGGATACTATATAATGTTGTTGGGTCTGTAACCATGAGGAGGGGATACTATATAATGCTGTTGGGTCTGTAACCATGAGGAGGGGATACTATATAATGTTGTTGGGTCTGTAACCATGAGGAGGGGATACTATATAATGTTGTTGGGTCTGTAACCATGAGGACGGGATACTATATAATGTTGTTGGGTCTGTAACCATGAGGAGGGGATACTATATAATGCTGTTGGGTCTGTAACCATGAGGAGGGGATACTATATAATGTTGTTGGGTCTGTAACCATGAGGAGGGGATACTATATAATGTTATTGGGTCTGTAACCATGAGGAGGGGATACTATATAATGCTGTTGGGTCTGTAACCATGAGGAGGGGATACTATATAATGTTGTTGGGTCTGTAACCATGAGGAGGGGATACTATATAATGTTGTTGGGTCTGTAGCTATGAGGAGGGGATACTATATAATGTTGTTGGGTCTGTAACCATTGTCTGTACACTATATATACAAAAGTATCTGGACACCCCTTCAAATTAGTGGATTCGGCTATTTCAGCCACACCTGTTGCTGACAGGTGTATAAAATCGAGCACACAGCCATGCAATCTCCATAGACAAACATTGGCAGTAGAATGGCCCGTACTGAAGAGCTCAGTGACTTTCAACGTGGCACCGTCATAGGACGCCACCTTTCCAACGAGTCAGTTCGTCCAATTTCGGCCCTAGTAGAGCTGACCATGCTAGAGGTGCCCTGAACACCGGGTAGACACAGTGTTCACATTTTGTACCTTTTTAATTTGTCTGAAAAGACAAACTCCACCTACCGGGAGATCTGTGGTTAAATTGAGTGCGCCTACTGCGCTGGTCAATCGGATAGCTCAGATCACCGTGCCTACAGCTTCCAGCAAAGTTTGATACTAGCCTACATCAGAATTCATTTTTTTTTTTAAAGCATGACCAGAGAGAGACTGTCAAAGAATACAGCAAAGAGCTGCTGTTTTTATGAGTGAGTTCAGGTTTTTATTCAACACTGTTACAAAACATAAAACGCGCTTCTCCCTACTACCACTCGCGCTGCAGCTGCAATGAATGAATAGCCAAGTTTATCGATAGGCCTGCGTCAGTGGAGGCTGCCGAGGGGAGGACGGCTCATAATAATGGCTGTAAACGGAATCAATGGAATGGCATCATGGGGTATATTTGATACCATTCCACCTATTCCACTCCAGCCATTACCAGAAGCCTGTCCCTCCCAGTTAAGGTGCCACCAACCTCCTGTGCCCTGCGTTTTTATTATTATTAGCAGCTCGTCTGTCTGTTTTAATATCGAGGAATATTTCACTTTCTCTGGTCGTAGGAACAACATGAATTTGTGCATGAGGCAGATGCGGTGCGACTCGAGTTTGGCCGTCAGGTGGAAGATGTTTCCCATCTCTCTGTTCAGTCTCACCGGAGGAAAGGAAGGAGAGAGCAGGGACCGTGAGAGGCGGACCCTCTGCTGCTCTCTCCCCTCCCTCTGCTGAGACTAATGCCATGTTCAAAACAACTGGGAACTTGGAAATCTCTGCCTTCTGACTTCAGTGCGTTCAAGACAATTGGGAAGTCAGAATAAAAAATGAGATCTGACTTGGAAAAATTGTTTTGAACGGTCATATCTCTCGGAATTCCAAGTCTGAAACTCAGGCAGCTACGCCTTTCCGACCTGAAGATCACTGACGTCATGATTTCACCTAGTTTTTTTCCCCGAGTTCCCAGTTGTCTTGAAAGCACCATGATCATCAGATGCAGGTAGCCTACCATCAGTCCAGTAAAATAAAACAACTAATTATTTGCTAAATTTATGCTCAGCTGTGCCTCGGAAGTGCTACACCAACTGATGTATTTTGTTATCAAATTTCAAAACAGAGTTTTGAAATCCAATATGGTCTGAGAAGAACAGTATTGTCAGGCCAGGCATACAGCCAATACAGTGTTATAATGTATTAGAACCTCATTCCTACACAACTGTTTTTATTAGGTTCATGTTACATTTTATAAGTCACGTTTTTAAAGAACTCTGAGCGCTAGATCTCGGCTTGCTTTTTGACTGTGAAAGTGATCTTGATTCAGAAAAGGTTGGTGACCAGTGGCTGACAGGACACACGTTAGAGACTCGCTCAAAAGAAAAGCAACATCTCAGCCTTTCATTAGTCGTGGATACGAGGTGTGCGCTGTGTTTGAACTCTTCTCTCTCTGTTTCTTCTAGTCTGCCGAAGGGGCCAATGCCAAGGATTCCTCTAAAGTCACTAAGCAGGAGGTCGCTAAGCAGGAGGTCGCTAAGCAGGAGGTCGCTAAGCAGGAGGTAGGAGTTCCATGTGTGTGTGTGTGTGTGTGTGTGCAGTGAGTGTGTGTGTGTGTGTGTGTGCAGTGAGTGTGTGTGTGTGTGTGCAGTTAGTGTGTGTGTGTTTTACACAACCGCAAACACGCTTATTATGGACCGCAGTCCAGTCACCACGTACACTACCCCTAGTACACTACCCCTAGTACACTACCTCTAGTACACTACCTCTAGTACACTACCTCTAGTACACTACCTCTAGTACACTACCCCTAGTACACTACATAGTACACTACCTCTAGTACACTACCCCTAGTACACTACCCCTAGTACACTACCTCTAGTACACTACATAGTACACTACCTCTAGTACACTACCTCTAGTACACTACCCCTAGTACACTACATAGTACACTACCTCTAGTACACTACCCCCAGTACACTACCCCTAGTACACTACCCCTAGTACACTACCTCTAGTACACTACCCCTAGTACACTACCTCTAGTACACTACCCCTAGTACACTACCTCTAGTACACTACCCCTAGTACACTACTCCTAGTACACTACCCCTAGTACACTACCCCTAGTACACTACCTCTAGTACACTACCCCTAGTACACTACCCCTAGTACACTACCCCTAGTACACTACATAGTACACTACCTCTAGTACACTACCCCTAGTACACTACATAGTACACTACCTCTAGTACACTACCCCCAGTACACTACCTCTAGTACACTACCCCAGTACACTACCTCTAGTACACTACCCCTAGTACACTACCCCTAGTACACTACCTCTAGTACACTACCCCTAGTACACTACATAGTACACTACCCCTAGTACACTACCTCTAGTACACTACCCATAGTACACTACCTCTAGTACACTACCCCTAGTACACTACATAGTACACTACCCCTAGTACACTACCTCTAGTACACTACCTCTAGTACACTACATAGTACACTACCTCTAGTACACTACCCCTAGTACACTACCCCTAGTACACTACATAGTACACTACCCCTAGTACACTACCTCTAGTACACTACCCCTAGTACACTACATAGTACACTACCCCAGTACACTACCCCTAGTACACTACATAGTACACTACCTCTAGTACACTACCCCTAGTACACTACATAGTACACTACCTCTAGTACACTACCCCTAGTACACTACCCCTATTACACTATAGTACACTACCCCTAGTACACTACCTCTAGTACACTACCTCTAGTACACTACCCCTAGTACACTACATAGTACACTACCCCTAGTACACTACCTCTAGTACACTACCCCTAGTACACTACATAGTACACTACCTCTAGTACACTACCCCTAGTACACTACATAGTACACTACCCCTAGTACACTACCTCTAGTACACTACCTCTAGTACACTACATAGTACACTACCTCTAGTACACTACCCCTAGTACACTACCCCTAGTACACTACATAGTACACTACCCCTAGTACACTACCTCTAGTACACTACCCCTAGTACACTACATAGTACACTACCCCAGTACACTACCCCTAGTACACTACCCCTAGTACACTACATAGTACACTACCCCTAGTACACTACCTCTAGTACACTACCCCTAGTACACTACATAGTACACTACCTCTAGTACACTACCCCTAGTACACTACATAGTACACTACCTCTAGTACACTACCCCTAGTACACTACCCCTATTACACTATAGTACACTACCCCTAGTACACTACCTCTAGTACACTACCTCTAGTACACTACCCCTAGTACACTACATAGTACACTACCCCTAGTACACTACCTCTAGTACACTACATAGTACACTACCTCTAGTACACTACCCCTAGTACACTACATAGTACACTACCCCTAGTACACTACCTCTAGTACACTACCTCTAGTACACTACATAGTACACTACATAGTACACTACCTCTAGTACACTACCCCTAGTACACTACCCCTAGTACACTACATAGTACACTACCCCTAGTACACTACCTCTAGTTACACTACCCCTAGTACACTACATAGACACTACCCCAGTACACTACACCCTAGTACACTACCCCTAGTTACACTACATAGTACACTACCCCTAGTACACTACCTCTAGTACACTACCCCATAGTACACTACATAGTACACTACCCCCAGTACACTACCCCCTAGTACACTACATAGTACACTACCTCTAGTACACTACCCCTAGTACACTACATAGTACCACTACCTCTAGTACACTCCCATAGTACACTACCCCTATTACACTATAGTACACTACCCCTAGTACACTACCTCTAGTTACACTACCTCTAGTACACTACCCCTAGTACACTACATAGTACACTACCCCTAGTACACTACTCTAGTACACTACCCCTAGTACACTACACTACATAGTCACTACCTCTAGGACACTTACCCCTAGTACACTACATAGTACACTACCTCTAGTACAACTACCTCTAGTACACTACATAGTACACTACATAGTTACACTACCTCATAGTACACTACCCCTAGTTACACTACCCCTAGATAACTACACTAGTACCACTACACCTAGTACACTACCTTTCTAGTACACTACCCCATAGGTCCAACTACATAGTACACTACACCCAGTACACTAACCCCTAGTACACTACATAGTTACACTACCTCTAGTTACACTGACCCCTAGTACACTAACCATAGTACAATACATCTAGACCACTACCCCTAGTAACTACGACCCTATTACCACTATAGTACACTACCCCTAGTACACTTCCTCTAGTAACACTACTTTTACACTACCTTAGTACACTAACCTCTAGTACACTAACCTCTAGTACAATTACCCCTAGTACACTAACCTCTAGTACACTACCTCTAGTACACTACCTCTAGTCAACTACCCCTAGTACATACACATAGTACACTACCCCTATAGTTACACTACATAGACACCTCAACCAGGTTACCACTACATTGTTACACTAACCTAAGTACAATACATAGTACACTACCCCTAGTACACTACCTCTAGTACCTACCCCGAGTACACTACATAGTACATACCTCTAGTACATACCACTAGTACACTACATAGTACACTACCCCTAGTACACTACCTCTCGTACATCCCCAGCTACACTACATAGTAAACTTCCCCGAGACACTAACATGTACACTACCCCTAGCTCACTGACATAGTACACTCCCCTAGTACACTACTAGTACACTACTCCTTACACTACCCCTAGTACAATACCCCTAGTACACTACCTCTAGTACACTACCTCTAGTAACTACATAAGTGGGAGAACAAGATCATTTGATACAACAACTGCCGATTTTGCAGGTTTTCCTACTTACAAAGCATGTAGAGGTCTGTAATTTTTATCATAGGTACACTTCAACTGTGAGAGACGGAATCTAAAACAAAAATCCAGAAAATAACATTGTATGATTTTTAAGTAATTAATTTGCATTTTATTGCATGACATAAGTATTTGATACATCAGAAAAGCAGAACTTAATATTTGGTACAGAAACCTTTGTTTGCAATTACAGTGATCATACGTTTCCTATGGGTCTTGACCAGGTTTGCACACACTGCAGCAGGGATTTTGGCCCACTCCTCCATACAGACCTTCTCCAGATCCTTCAGGTTTCGGGGCTGTCGCTGGGCAAGACAGACTTTCAGCTCCCTCCAAAGATTTTCTATTGGGTTCAGGTCTGGAGACTGGCTAGGCCACTCCAGGACCTTGAGATGCTTCTTACGGAGCCACTCCTTAGTTGCCCTGGCTGTGTGTTTCGGGTCGTTGTCATGCTGGAAGACCCAGCCACGACCCATCTTCAATGCTCTTACTGAGGGAAGGAGGTTGTTGGCCAAGATCTCGCGATACATGGCCCCATCCATCCTCCCCTCAATACGGTGCAGTCATCCTGTCCCCTTTGCAGAAAAGCATCACCAAAGAATAATGTTTCCACCTCTATGCTTCACGGTTGAGATGGTGTTCTTGGGGTTGTACTCATCCTTCTTCTTCCTCCAAACACGGCGAGTGGAGTTTAGACCAAAAAGCTCTATTTTTGTCTCATCAGACCACATGAACTTCTTCCATTCCTCCTCTGGATCATCCAGATGGTCATTGGCAAACTTCAGACGGGCCTGGACATGCGCTGGCTTGAGCAGGGGGACCTTGCGTGCGCTGCAGGATTTTAATCCATGACGGCGTAGTGTGTTACTAATGGTTTTCTTTGAGACTGTGGTCCCAGCTCTCTTCAGGTCATTGACCAGGTCCTGCCGTGTAGTTCTGGGCTGATCCCTCACCTTCCTCATGATCATTGATGCCCCACGAGGTGAGATCTTGCATGGAGCCCCAGACCGAGGGTGATTGACCGTCATCTTGAACTTCTTCCATTTTCTAATAATTGCGCCAACAGTTGTTGCCTTCTCACCAAGCTGCTTGCCTATTGTCCTGTAGCCCATCCCAGCCTTGTGCAGGTCTACAATTTTATCCCTGATGTCCTTACACAGCTCTCTGGTCTTGGCCATTGTGGAGAGGTTGGAGTCTGTTTGATTGAGTGTGTGGACAGGTGTCTTTTATACAGGTAATGAGTTCAAACAGGTGCAGTTAATACAGGTAATGAGTGGAGAACAGGAGGGCTTCTTAAAGAAAAACTAACAGGTCTGTGAGAGCCGGAATTCTTACTGGTTGGTAGGTGATCAAATACTTATGTCATGCAATAAAATGCAAATGAATTACTTAAAAATCATACAATGTGATTTTCTGGATTTTTGTTTTAGATTCCGTCTCTCACAGTTGAAGTGTACCTATGATAAAAATTACAGACCTCTACATGCTTTGTAAGTAGGAAAACCTGCAAAATCGGCAGTGTATCAAATACTTGTTCTCCCCACTGTAGTACACTACCCCTAGTACACTACCCCTAGTACACTACCCCTAGTACACTACATAGTACACTACCCCAGTACACTACCCCTAGTACACTACCATAGTACACTACCCCTAGTACACTACCTCTAGTACACTACCCCTAGTACACTACCCCTAGTACACTACCCCTAGTACACTACATAGTACACTACCCCTAGTACACTACCCCTAGTACACTACATAGTACACTACCTCTAGTACACTACCCCTAGTACACTACCCCTAGTACACTACCTCTAGTACACTACCTCTAGTACACTACCCCTAGTACACTACCCCCAGTACACTACCTCTAGTACACTACCCTTAGTACACTACCTCTAGTACACTACCCCTAGTACACTATATAGTACACTACCTCTAGTACACTACCCCTAGTACACTACCCCTAGTACACTACCCCTAGTACACTACCCTTAGTACACTACCAGCCCCTCAACACACAACTGATATGCCCCCTGTCCCCTTTCCCTCTTCCCCTCTCTCCCCCCCCTCTCTCCCCCTCTCTCTCTCTCTCTTTCTGTAGCCCACCAGACGGTCAGAGAGGTTGTCATCGGTAAGTTTAATCATCCCCTCCTCCTCTCCTCTCCTCTCCTCTCCTCTCCTCTCCTCTCCTCTCCTCTCCTCTCCTCTCCTCTCCTCTCCTCTCCTCTCCTCTCCTCTCCTTGCTCTCTCTCTCTCGTTGCTTCCCCACCAGAGGTAGTCTGTGGGGTCAGAGTTTCTCACTGCCACCAGATATGATATTAGGATCTGAAATCAAAGCAATGTCTGTTGTATTAATTGTTGTATTTAAACTTGACTAGCTACAGTGTTATAGCCAGTAGATATTCAGACAGTGTTCTAAATTAGTGTTTTATTTAGACAGTGTTCTAAATGAACGTTCTAAATGAGTGTTCTAAAGAGCATTCTAAATTTACATTCTAATTGAGCATTTTAAAGGAGCATTCTAAATGAGTGTTCTTAAGGAGCATTCTAAATGAGTGTTCTTAAGGAGCATTCTAAATGAGTGTTCTTAAGGAGCATTCTAAATGAGTGTTCTTAAGGAGCATTCTAAATGAGTGTTCTTAAGGAGCATTCTAAATGAGTGTTCTTAAGGAGCATTCTAAATGAGTGTTCTAAATGAGCGTTCTAAATGAATGTTCTAACAGAATATTCTAACAGAATATGGAAAAGCCCCATGCAATCATTTATTCACCAAGGTCTGGACAGCAAGCTGTCTTCATCCGGGTATCATGACAGCACTCTAAACAGTGTTCTAAAGGTGGTGGTGGTGAGAAAAGGTCCCTGCAGGTTCCGTCTGGTCCTGCGCTTGCTTTTTCTCATTTGTCCTCATTTCGTTTACCGGACCTGATATCTATATGTTCTGTTCATCAGCTGTCTGTCATGTGATTTCACTGTCCTCAGGCATGGCACACATGGACTGAATCTCAAATGGCACCCTATTCCCTTTGTAGTGCACTATTTTAGACCAGGCCCCATAAAGATTAGGGTGTAATTTGGGACACAAACACGTTCTTGCTAACACTTCAGTTTGTTGTAAACTTTAGCCCTTGTAAAAGAGTATTAAAAAAAATATTAATATGTTTATATGCCTATAAATTATTATTACAGTAATCATGTTATAATAATGTTATTACATTACCTTATTACAATATTACTGTTATAACTGATTATGTTATTACATTATTACATAGATTATTAACCAACAGGTTCTCACGGCTTACACCTATTTTAGTTATGTTAATAAAGAAAGGATCCAATGGTAGCCTTCCCTGTTTACACAATGATGATTTAAAAATATATGTTAAATATACTGTTCAGTTAAATATACTGTTAAGGTAAATATGTTAAATATACTGTTAAGGTAAATATGTTAAATATCCTGTTAAGTTAGCATTGATTAAGCTGTCTGTACGCAGACCTTCATCTGAGGTGTTGCCCTCTACTAGTGGGTATTGCATGGCCTCACCTATAGCCTACAATACACTTACTGTTCAGGTTATACATAGATTCCTATGCTAAGCTATTTCTATGGTATTTTCCCATTGTCTTTGCTAAGCTAACTCTATAGAAATGCCCCATTCACTCAGTTAAGCTAATTCCATTGAAATGTCCAATTCACTCAGCTAAGCTAATTCTATAGAAATGCCCCATTCTAAACTAAGCTAATTTTATGGTGTTTCCCACTCTCTATGCTAGGCTAAGCTAAGCTAAGCTAATTCTATAGCGTTTCCCCACTCTTTGAGCTAGGCTAATGCTAAAGCTAATGGCTCTCTCTCTGCAGAAACCAGCTCCTCCCAAACCTGATGCGGTCAAACCTATGAAGGCTATCGCCAAGGTAATGCCATCAAGCATACACGCACGCACACACTGTCCAGGTGTTAAAGCACGTATCCACAAATACATGTTGTGTTTGTTTTAAAGTCTCATAAAGTTTTTGTCCATTTGAATGTTCTCAGAGCCATTCTCAGTCCTATGTTTTTATTGGTTGACTCTGTCCTCTGTTGGGATTGGTAGTCTCTAATTGGCTTGATGTTTCTGTTCTGTGTTCTCATTGGCTTGCTGTTTCTGTTCTGTGTTGGGTTTGGTCGTCTCTGTTTCTATGACGTGTTCTGATTGGCTCTCTCTGCCTAGAAGCCGGTGGACAAGGTGTACGACAAGGCCATGAAGGGAAAGAAAGGCGGAGCTAAGGTGAAGAGGGAGGATGGCCCCTCCCATAAAGGACAGACCATGACGGAGGAGGTACGGTAGGCCACACCTCCATCAGAGGATGGAGAGAAGGAGAGGAGAGAAGGTTTAGGGGGATGGTGGTGGGATTATAATCATCTAACATGTCTTCCTTCAACGTTGTCCCTCTGTCTCTCAGATCTGTGTGTCTCGCTCCAGTGTCCGTATGACCTACCACAGAAGTCTTGCTCCCAGCTCCATGTCTGTCAGAGGACAGAGTGAGACGGTCCGAGTCAACGGTACGACAGACAGACAGCGTGCTGTGGATTTGAACCAGAGTTGTTAGGCTGTATCCCAACTGGCACTCTATTCCCTACAGAGTGCATTACTTTAGACCAGAGCCCTATGGGGTTTATAGTGGTGTACAGTGTAGTGCCATTAGGGACTCTGTGATATAACCACTGCCATAGTAGTATGATAGGTCCAGTGTAATGTGTTGTTCTACAGGGTCAGCCATAGTAGTATGATAGGTGCAGTGTAATGTGTTGTTTTACAGGGTCAGCCATAGTAGTATGATAGGTCCAGTGTAATGTGTTGTTTTACAGGGTCAGCCATAGTAGTATGATAGGTCCAGTGTGTTGTTTTATAGGGTCAGCCATAGTAGTATGATAGGTGCAGTGTGTTGTTTTACAGGGTCAGCCATAGTAGTATGATAGGTGCAGTGTGTTGTTTTATAGGGTCAGCCATAGTAGTATGATAGGTCCAGTGTGTTGTTTTATAGGGTCAGCCATAGTAGTATGATAGGTCCAGTGTAATGTGTTGTTTTACAGGGTCAGCCATAGTAGTATGATAGGTGCAGTGTAATGTGTTGTTTTACAGGGTCAGCCATAGTAGTATGATAGGTCCAGTGTAATGTGTTGTTTTACAGGGTCAGCCATAGTAGTACGATAGGTCCAGTGTAATGTGTTGTTTTACAGGGTCAGACATAGTAGTATGATAGGTCCAGTGTAATGTGTTGTTTTACAGGGTCAGCCATAGTAGTATGATAGGTCCAGTGTAATGTGTTGTTTTACAGGGTCAGCCATAGTAGTATGATAGGTCCAGTGTAATGTGTTGTTTTACAGGGTCAGCCATAGTAGTACGATAGGTCCAGTGTAATGTGTTGTTTTACAGGGTCAGCCATAGTAGTATGATAGGTGCAGTGTAATGTGTTGTTTTACAGGGTCAGCCATAGTAGTATGATAGGTGCAGTGAAATGTGTTGTTTTACAGGGTCAGCCATAGTAGTATGATAGGTCCAGTGTAATGTGTTGTTTTACAGGGTCAGCCATAGTAGTATGATAGGTCCAGTGTAATGTGTTGTTTTACAGGGTCAGCCATAGTAGTATGATAGGTCCAGTGTAATGTGTTGTTTTACAGGGTCAGCCATAGTAGTATGATAGGTGCAGTGTAATTTATGGTTAAGTGCCTTGGTCGTCACTAGTTATCACAGCCACAAAGTCAATATAGTCTATATCGTAAAAATTCATAAAAACAAAAATTACCTTTTTGGTCTTAATTTAAGGTTAGGGTTAGGCATACAGTTAGCAGTGTGGTTAAGGTTAGAGTTAGGTTTAAAATCAGATTTTAAGAAGATAAATTGTAGAAATAGGCGGGGTTTAGCCATAATAATGGTAACTAGTGACGACCATAGAACCATGGATTGGTACTTCCTGGTCCCTTTATGACATCATGGTGTGTTTATGCATAGAGATCCTATTAAATTACTAGAGGGTCTATGTCAGCCATATTGGTCAGGGAGAAATCCAAACCAGTCTAATTGGAATTAATGGCAGTAGAGGCAGAATCCTGATTTTACTTAATAAAAGTAAGGCGTGATATATCAGAAATTATAAACTGGGTGGTTCGAGCCCTGAATGCTGATTGGCTGACAACCGTATACCACGGTATGACAAAACATGTATTTTTACTGCTCTAATTACGTTGGTAACCAGTTTATAATAGCAACAAGGCACCTCGGGGGTTTGTGGTATATGGCCAATATACCACGGCTAAGGATTGTGTCCAGGCATTCCCCATTGTGTTGTGAAAAGAACAGCCCTTAGCCATGGTATATTGGCCATATACCACTCCCCCTTATTGCTTAATTGTGTAATAGAATTGTCAACCTAAAATATTGTCATATAATTATAAATACAGGTTATACAGGTTTTCTATCCATTTTCTGTATAAATATCCTCTAAAATATTTAAGTGATAATGCCCTCGAAGCCGGTGTTTGGAGGATATATTGGCATGGTGTTGTTAGGCCCGAGACGAAGTAGAGCCAATATCTCCTCCAAACACCGGCTTCGAGGGCATTATCACTTTTATACAACGGGTTACCAACATATTCAAATAAATAATCATTAAAAACGTTATTTTCAAATAAAATAAAATGTTATTAGTCACATACACGTGTTTAGCAGATGTTATAGCGGGTGTAGCGAAATGCTTGTGCTTCTAGCTCCGACAGTGCAATAATATCTAACAAGTAATATCTAACAATTTCACAACATATACCCAATACACACAAAACTAGTAAGGAATGGAATTTAAGAATATATACATATATGGACAAGCAATGACAGAGCGGCATGGACTAAGATACAGTAGAATATTATAGAATACAGTATATACATATAAGATGAGTAGTGCAAGATATGGAAACATTATTAAAGTGACTAGTGTTCCATTTCTTAAAGTGGCCAGTGATTTCAATAGGCAGCAGCAGCCTCTAATGTGCTAGTGATGGCTATTTAACAGTCTGATGGCCTTGAGATAGAAGCTGTTTTTCATTCTCTCGGTCCCAGCTTTGATGCACCTGTACTGACCTCGCCTTCTGGATGATAGCGGGGTGAACAGGCAGTGGCTCGGGTGGTTGATGTCCTTGATGATCTTTTTGGCCTTCCTATGACATCGGGTGCTGTAGGTGTCCTGGAGGGCAGGCAGTGTGCCCCCGGTGATGCGTTGGGCAGACCGCACCACCCTCTGGTTGCGGGCGGTGCAGTTGCCGTACCAGGCGGTGATACAGCCCGACAGGATGCTCTCAATTTTGCATTTGTAAATGTTTGTGAGGGTTTTAGGTGACAGGCCGAATTTCTTCAGCCTCCTGAGGTTGAAGAGACGCTGTTGCGCCTTCTTCACCACACTGTCTGTGTGGGTGGACCATTTCAGATTTTCAGTGATGTATACTCTGAGGAACTTGAAGCTTTTCACCTTCTCCACTGCGGTCTCGTCGATGTGGATAGGGGCGTGCTCTCTGCTGTTTCCTGAAGTCCCCGATCAGCTCCTTGCATTTGTTTAAGCTGTTTTCTAGTGACATTTATTTGGATACATCCATAACAATGAGCTAATGAGGCGCGATTTCGCCTGGCATAGAAAATGTGCTCTCTTGTCAGGGCACTGTTGTTCAGAGGAGCTAGCCAACAACACAGCTAACACAATCACTTCAAACTAAAGTTGGAAAAACTGCAAACTAGCTACACTTTGTTTCGTTTTACCTTTTTTCAATTGACATTTCTTTGTATATATCCATAAAAATGATGCCAGCTGAGAAACGCTGCCTGGCTGTCTGTCTCGTCCCGACTCATTCATTACTATGGGACAGCTGGAGATCGAATTTGAATATTGAAACAATGTTGCAAATGTCGGAGAGACAGACGGCAAGGTTTATACAAATCTCCGCTGTTGAAAACGAAATGTTAGTCTAAAAGAAATGTGAGATAATGTCCAGATGCTTTTAATAGTGGAGATCAAGTTTATAAATTGCCTGGCTGGGCTGATGAGACAGTGGATTGCGCAGTCAGATGGAACAGAGTAAATAGGCATTTTAACGTCTTAGATTTAGCCGGTGGTAACTGGTGGAATAGACACCGGCTGGAATGCGGTTTGAACCAATCATCATTCAGGATTAGAACCACCTGTTGTATAAATGTAAATAGACCGTACCTGTACATGTCTCAATGAGGTCTGTTATATGATACAATATCAGCACCTGATGCATTTACAACTTGTCTAAATCCTGTCATCAACTGATTTCAGCTGTGGATTGACTGCATTTGAATGGGTTTGAATGGGTTTGAATGGAGTGTTGGCATATTGGCAGTTAATTAAAAAAAAATTGAGTAATTCCTCTAAAACTGTCTGGCTAGCTAGCTAACAAACAGTGCAGATACATTCTTCATCTTATCACAGCAATGGTTGACCAACTCCCTGACCAACATGGCTGACCTTTATCCCATCATAAGAAGGTTAATGTCTAATCTGGTATTCCAATTCCTCATTCTGTGTGTTTGTGTCTGTCTGCAGGAGACTGAGGCTGTGGGGGCGGGGTCTGACGAGGAGAAGGAATGAGGAAATTGGGGGGGGTGTCTTTCTCTTACTTCTCCCAAATCGGTACCATGGAAACGAAGAAAGGATCATTTTTACAAGGATTTTGTAAAATCTTGCTTTTTATGGGTCCTGTGATATTAGCGAAGATAAACCAACACCCCACGTCGACACCTCCTCTCTCTCTCTTTTCCAATCCTTTCTTCCCTCTCTTCCATTTTGTTGTTTTACCCCTCTCCTTCCTGCTCTTTCCCTCTCTTTCCCCCCTTCCTTTTCTTGAAAGACAGAGTGGGAGGAGCCTCACGGGGTCACCATGATAATGCCTCTCACATCCTTTCTAAATGATGATGTCATATCCTCTCTACTGCGATGGCGCTTTTTGATGACATCACTGTAATTTTAAGTTGATCTCCCTAGAACATCAGAGACCCAGGGGTCAAACTTGGCTCCTATGACATCACAGGTCACCTTTGACCCTGACCTGAGGCGTTGCCATGGAGAATATTTGCGGCTTTTTAAGCAGATTTGGAAAAAGTGTTGAGAATCGTCACTGCTGTGTTTGAAACTCTGCTGTTTTAGTGTGTGTGTGTGTTTTAACCCCTGGTTGTCTGGCAGAGCAATAACAAGCTGTGTTTCCGTTCTAGAACTCTCTGGGTTCCACCCTGCCTGGGGGAAAACATTATTTTGAAATAAAAACAAAACGTTGACGTCTTGTGAGTACCGTGTGTTTTGTCTCTCTCTTGTGTTTTACTTCCTAGTGTATCTACTGACACTGGTGTTACTAGTGTTACACCTGTTTGTTCTACCCCAGCAGCTGATCCAGAGGGTAGTGCGTATGGCTCAGTACATCACTGGGGACAAGCTTCCTGCCATCCAGTCTAGGTCCAAAAGGCTCCTTAACAGCTTCTACCCCCCAAGCCATAAGACTGCAGAGCAATTAATCAAATGGCCACCCGGACTATTTACATTGACCCCCC